AAATAATAACAATAACACTACCCGGGCCACACATGAATTATTCCTACAGCCACAATGCAATATAATACGTCTTACATATCGTTGAATATTCTGCCGAGTAACGATTTTTGTGTATTTGCGCAGTTGGCAAAAACGGAATGATTAATTGGTCATAATGCTTGTGAATAGATGTATACATATAGAAAGTGTACAAAAATTTAGTTTCGTCACTGTCGGGTACGAGTGTAATATTTTGTCTTAAGTGCGTTTAATTACGATTATATTCTAAAAATATAATAAATAGTTTTCATAAGTAGTTCTGCGTTCACAAATCCACTACTCGTTTGCGAGAACTCAAAGAATTTACCATTATTGTACATGTAACAATCGTATATATACCAGGTTAATGCGAAATGTCCATTTTTGAAATCGGTTATCACACCGTTATCAATTTCTACATAAAATAGAACGCACTTTGAGCGATCGGCAATTATTTAGTTAGTTGGTTTATATTTAAAATAAAAATGACTTGGAATAACTATTCTGTGGAACATAATTTACACAAATTGACGGCATTGATGGTTGTGATTCGGCGGAGATGATAAAAACCACAGTGCAATGTTTATTATTAATTTAAATAACTATATAATATATTTATACTATAAATATGAGTACAGCTATTAGCCTCTACATTGATTTTACCTACCTTACAACACGAGTACCGGAGAAGAAACGATCGTCTCAGGATTTCCGAATTTGTTGAAACTCGTTTCGTACAGCACAACAATAACACAGTAGTTGCGTTATAATAATCACATGTTTACGTTTTCTAAGATCTCGCGACCATTATATAAGCCGGTGGAGACTACGGTATGATTAAAACCCGAACATTATCAAATAACGGTGTGGCATCCGAGCTCAGTGACAATACGCGTGGAACGAGAAACGAATCTTATTACTTCACCGAAACGAGAATATAAATTATACGATTCCTTTGCGGCCAGGAACGCTCTACGACGAAAAACATATTATCGTTGTTATTATTATTTGGTACTATGTTTTTCTCTGATCCGACCGTAAAACACCGCCTATCTACATACGATCTCCGTAGTATGATACACACATGCCTATCGGTGGCACGTAATAGTGCATCACAGGCCGTGATCGGTGTATCCAATTTTTTTTTTTTTATCTAATGTTAGAAAACATACATACGAGTACCCGTTCCTCAAAATATATAACCGATTTATATATATATATTCATGTGGGTCGGAAAGAACAGTTGTGTTTTAGCAGTGTACACAAACCGTAAATAGCTCTCTTGCGTGTAATATCATCTAACGACGTAGTAATTGTAATAATGGCGAAAAACGCTTTGCGCACGCCGAATAAACTTCACGTCGGAATAAATGTTTTACACTCTAAAACGTATATTACTCTCTAACGGATCATTGCATTCTAGGGCGACTTTGTAATAAAAAAAAACAGCCTGGTATGATTCAAACTTATCAACTTCCCGAAAATTATTCATAAAGAATATACAAAGTTACTAATTTATTCGAATCAAACGAAAATAATAATTCGATACAATAATACAACGAACAATGTACGTTTTTTCGGTCAAATGTTTAACCGTTTAGTTGGACGAGAAATCGAAAAACGTAAACAATAATATATCATGATTAATATAACCGCATATAGACAATTACGAAACCCATAACACATCATAACATTCATTTTGTTCGTCATTCTTTCATGCGTAATTGATCAGACTACACAATCCAAGAAAATAAACCTGTAAAATCTACAATAATGTATACAGGGGTAAATTGTTAATGATTAATTATTTTTCATTTATTGTAAAACTTAAATTTTGATTTTATTTTACAACAAGTTTACTACCGAAGGTAAACATTTTTAGGATTGGAACGGAAAATGAAATGTGCGGCATTGGCTGAGGATAGCTAATAGTTAAATCCGTTCGAGTGTGGTGTAACTTGGAACAATCCATTACGTTTTTACGGCGTATACTACCTACGTCTGTATCGAAAACCACAAGCGTCTAACGATGAAAATTTCCATTGTTTAGAAAATAATTGTCAAAGGAAACGAATTCACTTGGTCGACCGCGCTACACGTACACGTAAAATGTTACGAACGCAAGTGACGAATTCTGAAATCTCGAGACGATTGACAAAAAAATCGTGAAAATTCCCATCACGTATTGTAATTCGTGTAGTTGAGGGAAAAAACTCCATGAATGAAGAAAACCCTTTAGGGGATCTTAAAGTCGATAGCGGTGATGAACGTGTGGCCTACGAGCTCGCCGAAAGCTTTTGACCGACGGAATACTGACAAGCTTTCACCGCGCTGCGTATATCGCTACGATTTCGTTCGGTCGCACTTCGCATATCATTATCGTGCGTTGCTCAAATCGTAACTATTATAATTATAACCGGCAGCAAGTCGACAACAAGTTAAAGTGTTTCGTAACGTTTCGGTGCGACCGGTAAGTTTTCGTGTCGCGTACGTTTGACCTGGCGCGTTTATATCCTCAATGATCTTCGCCGCTGCGTGCAGGACCTTATTATATGTATCATACTATTATGACGGTCTATATTGCACCGACGAACACCTATTTATAACCGTATTATTAATTATTCTTGTTATTATTATTATTATTATTATTATTATTATTATTATTATTATTATTATTATTATTATTAT